ATAACACAACCACCAGCAGCACTCTTTCTTTTACTTTGAAATTTGTAATGAGTTTGACCTCATGAACATGATATTTACACAAAGAACTGGGTATCACACTTGCTTACGTGCTGCTACTGGAATCCAGGGTCATTTCATCATCCTCATCCTCATCATCTAGATTATCTGCAACCAAATTCAGAGCATCCAAGTCAGACACTGGCCGTGCATTTCCTCACTGGAGAATAGTGAGCTATCTTGGTGTAGGAACAAGCGTTCTGTGTGCATGAGGTAAGAAAAGGTATAATGTTTGGCTTTCACACATGGCCTGGTATTGTGAAGCAGAAAAATAAGGTTCTAAAATGTTCAATTTTCTCAGTGGGATGCTTCGGTTTTCATTGGGAAATAGCGATAATGGCTCCAAAATCCCAAACCATTGCGCTACCATACGCGCATCTCTTCTGCTAAGGACAGGAAAAACAACCTTTCTAGACAACCCTCCATACAATTGTGCACTTTCTAAGATGTTCAGTTGAGCTTTTATCTTTTAATTGAGTGAAGTGCTCTCTATCATACACACTGAAGCTTCTTGTATCCCAAGTTTCTCACCACTGCATCCTCCTGCATGATGTCCATAAATGAAAATTTATGAACTACTTTGAATGACTTCATCAACCTGCAATGACACTGATAAACATACCTGCTTAAATGCTACAGTCATCATGCAGAACATATTGTGAGTATGTTACAGATGAGAAAATGAATATCCAGAAATGAGAATTTACCTCATAATTCACAACAAATGCATTACAATGATACCTAGAAAACTTATTCATAAAGCAAATTATTATAAATCAATCATGACTCTCCCTGCCACTCCTTACTGCCTGCAAAGATTTTGGATGGACATTTTCTGAGTGCAGCAGGCATATATAACCAGGAAAGAAGGCAACTGTTGGAATGGTGTGGCCTCAAGTGTGTTTGTCCTCTATTCTGATAGAAACAAGTCCTTTCTGTCAAGACTCTAATTAAAATGTACACTGGAAGGTAGGAACATACTTTGAAATTTGTAATGACATTCACCCCCTGAACATGATATGTACACAAAGAACTGGGTATCACATTTGCCCCAGGCTGGTGTATGTTTTGGTGTCTCTTCATTGGAGTAATGAACACATATGGAAGAAAGAAAACAGATATACAGGACATGGGCATAGTGGTATATCTAAAAACCTGGGCACATTGTGTTGCACCAGGCATGACAAGAGCTTGTGGCTTGGGGCTGGCGAGATGGATCAGTGGTCTAAAGCACCTACTTAGAACAAGCTTAGCAAAGCACTGGGACCGCGGTTCGATCCCCCAGCACCAGATGCCAGCCAGCCCCGCCCCCTGGTGGGCTGAGCTGGCCACACACACATACACACACACACACACACACACACACACACACACATAAATAAATTTAAAAAAAAGAGCTTGTGGCTCCCTTACCTGGTCTAAGTCTGAGGGCAAGGTACTTGGCCAGCTTGCTCTCCTCAGCAAGTCTGTCTCTGTGATTCTTCATCTGGCATCTGTGTTGGTCATCTTCAGCAACAAGACTGCTGAGATTCT